CAAATAACAACTAGTAATACAAGACCTTTTGGGAGGGTAACTAGGTATTACTCTCAAATGCCAAATTTCTACTTATTACATCAACCTAAGTCCATAAGCTAACACCTCAATGGCTTGTACCTTTCTATATTTTTGTAGTGAATTCTAATGTTGCATATCACCTCAAGCTTCATTCACATATTTGGATCTATTTGGACTTTCATATTTTATAGCTCAAGGAATTTCATATTAAATTAAGGCATTCCTTGGATTGATATCAAATACTACCACCACCAATTGTAATTGATGACCAACACAAGTATGAAGTAGACAACATTTTGAAGCACCGCTACCTTCGCCATAGGGATAAATGTCTACAACTTTAGTACAAATTTCTTTGGAAAGGTTATTCCATCTATTATGTAACAAAAAAAATTGCACAAAATCTCATCCATTATTAAGAGACAATTTGGAATTACCATCGAGAGTAAAATAAGGACATGCTATATTAATAAAGGAAGATTAATAGTATTGGAGTATTTATATTATTGATATATAGAGATAGGTAGTTGGAACCATTTTTGGAAAGTTTTTAGAATTGGGGCTAGATTAGTAATCTATGTAGGATCCACCATAAAATATTCTAAAACAACTTAGAAGAGTTATTTAGATTGAATCTACCTTTAAAATCTTTTAAAAGGTTTGGTTATTTTGGTCAAGTCCACCATTAGAGACATTCTAGAAAGTTCTAAGATGGTTTGATAAAGTATAAATAGAATTAGCCAAAGCCATTTGAGTATTCAATTAGATATGGCTTTGGTTCCTTTCTCTCAATAAAGTTTGGTTTGTATTTTTTTCTTCTATTTTGTTTTATTATAATTTGCTTTGTTTTGCCTTTTATTGCTTTATTTTGTTTTTTTTTTATTTTTTGTGTCTTATATTATGATCAAATTTATATTGATGTAAATTAGAAGGATTTTAGATCATAAAAGAAGTTTAATCTTGTTTCATGCATAGTCTTTATTATTACTAGGTCTCTTTGATTTTCTAAATAATTGCACTCCTAGTCCTTGTCCTATGTTATTTCTTTGAAAAGTCTTAGATTTGTAGCCTTCTTCATCAAAATATAAGCACGGACTTTGTTGAAATTGATGCCTCTTCTCTTTTATTATAAGAGGTTTAAATCATACCACATTAATTTGCATATCTTGAGCTCCAAAGTATAGAAATAATGTATTTATTAAAACAACAAAGTATAAATTTCTAATGTATCATTTTATTAAAGTCTATAAACATTGATCTTGATAGCATTAAAATAATCAATTATCAAACTTCACACCTTGATTGATAGTTACATTGAGTATTTGAGGATCAATTAATGATAATAATAGATTTTTTACATCATCATTTAGTTCCCAATAGAATTTGCTCATGAAAACTTATTCATTCCAATTGATATCACAAGCCACTTGTCAAAAATCAAATACATAAATTGATGCAATGTGTGATCCTTGACAAAATGACCAAATCCTTATTATCACTCATTTGGCCTTGTTATGTTTTTCAAATGCTTTTATAAATGCTTCTAAAAAATTTTCAAAGTTGCTTAAGTTTAAAAATATCTTCTCAAATAAAAGAACAAAGCAAGATAAGATTGTCTTATAAATAAGGTTCCAACTAAATCAACTCACAATTCTTACATTGGATAGCACTCAGATTGTACAAAAGTTACTAATTGAATTTAGTTTACAAATTGTTGAAACTTGAACTGTATCGCATTAGACTTTTTTAGAAGATTAATCCAAGGCTCTTTACATTGTTGAATAGGTGAATTTTCTTGTTGAGGTATAGGTGCCACTACCTCTTTTGATGTAGAAGTATGAAAAAGTAGTTGCATTACAAGCTGAACTGCTCTAAGTCTTACATCATCATGAAATCTTATAAAAAATCCCTCAATTTTAGTAGTTCTATAAAATAAAGCATTCAACATGTTAATAATAACATCCAACTTGGATTTGAGAGATTCAACCATACTAACATCTTTACCTCTATATATCTTTAAAATAAAATAAAATAAAAATAAAAATAAATTATCAACTTCCAAGAATATACTTTGTAACCTCTAAAGCGCTTAGATACCTTCAAGAAGAGGGATAATTCACTCTCTATCAAGAAAGATTGAGCTCTAGTATTGATAAGAAGATTGTTTCAATAAATTGTCACGGATACTTTATACAAGAGACCAAACAAGAAATTGAATAAAAGAGTTTCAACAAAAAAGGTAACAAAAAACTTGATTAAACCAAATGAGTACAAAATCAATACCAAGAAAGATGAGCTAGACCTCTAAAAAATATGTTGTTGAAATTGAAGATCCTCTCAGCTTTAATTCGAATATATACCAAGTATCAGGAGGCTTTTCAAGAAATTTTCATATTGTTTGAAGACAAAACAATCTTAAGAAGCTTTTCAAACAACTTCCTTAATCCTCTTAGAACTTTCTTGAATCAGTTGGAATATTTTGAAAACCTTCTAAACTTCTTAGAAATCTTTTTAGAATCTTTTATTTGAATATTTTTAAAATCTATTGAAACCTTTTAGAACTTGGTAGAATATTTTTAAAATATTTCTAAAATCTTCTTATTTGATGTCTATAACATATAAAATTTAATTTATTAAAATAATATATTTTTAAAGTTTGATATAACTATTGGCATAGATAAAATATCTTTCAAATATTTTAGATATATAAACATATGTTGATACATAAATATAATATTTATAGAATTAAATAATAAAATAAAATTTAAAATATTTTTCAACATAAATACAAATAAAATCAATATTTTCATGAGCTATATTTTTTACTAAATTTAAAACCAATATTATAAATATAAGTATATTTTTTATTCATAAGTATGTATATTATTACTTATTTAAAATCCTTCAATCTTTGCATATAGATGTAGGTGTCAAAGACATAAATCACAAAAAACCAAAGGATTAATACATTCTTATATCACTTGAAAATAATTCATAATCAATCAAAGATGGTATAATATTAAGACTAGAATGACTATTGCCAAAGATAAAAAGATTAAAGACTCTTGTAAGAAAACTAAGAAAAAAAAAAGGCAATCACAATAGTAAGGAAGGTTTCACTTTTGCCTCTATATATACTATTTAATTAGAAGTTACATTGGAACATTTTATAGGACCTATGCCATGTGTCCAATTTAAAACAAGTGTTAAACATGCAAAATAATTTTCCAACATGTGCTTCACATGGCCAACTTCTATCAAAAGTTGCCAACATGTACAATACATGGCCAACTTGTTAATTAATTTTCAACCTACAAATCATCTCCAAACTTATAAAAAATCAAATCCACATCTATATAGCTTCTAAGAAATTTCTTCCCAAGATATTATCAAATTATTAACTTTTACTTACTTAAATCTAATCTTTTTTATCTAGATAATTATTAGAGTCACTTATGTTTGTGACACTAGGTTCCAACTCTAAATATTGGATATGTGGGGGTTTTCTATAGTTTAACCTTCAAAAAATTTAATACCACATATTATTCTTCTAATCAATTACGTTAATGTTATATCATCTCAACATTACAAAGTTATCAAATTCTTCTCTCAACTTTTTTTAAATGTAAGAATTTCTTATCATTTTTTATAAATATTGTCAATTTTATATAATAGAATTTTTTTTCTTTGTAATAATCCAAAATAATAATTGATTTTAAAAAAATATATATTTAAATTCTTATAAGAAAAAAGTATTCAAATAAAAACTTAAAATTAATTTATTAAATTAATATAGATAAATTTGGATTTAGCTGAAAAATAATTTAAATTTTTTTAATTAATATTTTAAAAAAAATGGTTTTATTATGTAAGAAGTAAATTTTAGTATTAATATCTTTTTTAATATTTTTTATTATAATACCATAAAAAATTAGATTGTAATGTAAAAATTTATATTAAAGATAAAATAATAATAACTTTATTATATCTATTACGTAAATTAAGATATATTTTATGATTTTTTTAATAATGATTGAATTGAATTAGATATAATGACACTTAATGCTTTACTTTTATTTTTTTTCCTTTTAGTTATAAGAATCATTTCTCAAGATAACAAAAAACTAAAATTAATAGCCAAATCTTTTATAGTATCTTGAAGAGATTTTTCTTTGTCAAAGCAAAAAAAGAAATACTATGGCTTAAAAAAACACTAGTATATTTACCAAAGCAATACATTATTTTTATACAGAAGTTTTTTTTTATAAAAATAATAATTTATAGATAGGTAGATAGATAGAATCTTGTTAATGCCACCATATTTTTTGCTATTGCTACCATAACTTATTTTTATTAAATTTTCAATAATTTTTTATTAAAATTAATTTTAATTTCTACATAATTTGAGATATTTATATTAAAAATTATTTAATTAGAAATAATATATATATATATATATATATATATATATAAACATATCAAATGAGTGGTGGATTACAATGGTTGTTGCAAAAAAATTGGTGGCATTAGCAATATCCTATATATATCATACATACATACATAAAATTCTTTAAAATTATTTATTGAGTACTTTATAATTGAATGTTAAAAACAAACTTTTTTTTATTATGGATTTTTATTCAACATTCTCTCAATTATATTTTTCTATCTATTTTATTATATTCTTGAATAGCCTTTGATATAACCATTGTACACGTTGGTGTTGATGTTGATGTTTATACAACATTGACCTTGAATATGTTACTTTCATTGATGCTTCAAAAATTGTCTACAAAGTTTGGAAGAGGTTTGCATAAAAGCTTGTAGATAGAGCGATAATCCAAATAGACACTGCATGTATTCCAACAGATGTGTGTACATTGATTGCAAGGTTTTCTTTTTACTTTTTTTCTTTCCTCCCTCGCTTTGCAGCAGTAACAGATTTGCATTGTTTCAGTTTAACATTCTTGCACGCATCATCGTGTGAAGCATCGTTTATTTCTCAATTGATAAACTCATCAAAATAAAACTACAAAATTGCCCTAACATAGTCGACTCATGTCCCACTTCAGGACGAGCCTTCAACTATGTCAAGAATCGAAAAAAATTGTTTTAAAAAAATGATCTAGTTGCATCATCTTCGCCTTGTTCCACGGGCTCATTATCTACAAGCTGTGTGTCTGAAGGTGCATCGCTAACACTAGAGACTCACAGAGAAGTAAAGAATATATATACAGAATAATTTGTTTGAATGAGGGATTGAGCAGAAGAGGAATCAGAATGGGAGAACTTAACGAGACTGAGATGATGGTGATGTTGTCTCAGCTGCAGCACTTTCTGTAACATCGTGTTTGCAAATAGGGCAGAGCTTGGAGTGAATGAGTAGCCAGTGAGCTCCGCAAGGCTGATGAAAGACATGGGAGCATGGGAGCTGCACTTGCGAGTCGGCGTCCTCGAATTCCTCTTGGCAAATCACACACGCCTCGGAGACTGCTTCGGGTACTTTCTCCGGCAAGCACACAGGCAAGGCGGCCACCGTTGCAGCGGATGCAACGCAACGCACGTCCTCCAGCTGCACCAAGCTCTCGTACGTCATGTCAACGATGAGCGGTGCGAAGGACCTGTCAGTCCGATGAACGAATCCTGGGTTCGTCTCCGCAAATGAAACAGACAACGCCAGAGCGAGTTCCAAGTCCGCACCAATGTCATCGAACGCTGCGAGATGATCACTCCTTGTCAAGTCGAAGGAATCCTCCCGACGATCTTCGACTGAATCCCGCCGCCTCGAACGGCGTCGTGAGGTGGGAGGGCTAGGAGCAGCTACCACACTGAAATCCTCCTCATCGTCCTGTGCATACCCTCCCCACCTCTGTTGCTCAATTCTTCGCTGCTCGGCTGCTGCTCTTCTCCTTCTCCCTTTCCCAGCGCTCCTGGATTTGTGACCCCCAGCCGCACCCGAAGCAGAGGTGGCGACTACCGAGCTGCTCATTGCGACACTCGAAACAGAAAAAAAAAAAAAAAAAAAAAAAAAAAAAAAAACACTAGTGTTGAGAGGCTCCGGCTGCCTATGCACAGCCTCTACTTGACCCTCTTATCTACCACAAGAAAAACAGCTTCAGAAGCTAACCCTTATAGACCGGGGCACCAGCTCCAGCTCCTATCTCGCCTGGAGATTAAAACTCGCTTTGCTACGACCTCGACCACTACAACTCCGTAACACCAACGGCACCGACACCGTCTCTGAAAACAACCCAGCTTTGTTGACTCCGCCGCAAGCTTTGAAGCCACGCTCTAAACATGTTCAAATTAGTATTGGAAAACGCGTGTTTGTTGGTTTGTGGGTATGAGTGTTCCGCAAGCATGATGGCCGTTGCTTTCGTATCAAGGTCATATAAGTCAAATAAAAACATATGAGCAGATGCTACGCAGGCATCGAAGGGGGATGTGTGTAGGACAATCCTACACTGCCCAGTTTCAGCGATTGTTCGGAAACTTGCTCAGAAACCACCGACTTCATGCCCACTAAAAGTCTCGGGGAAACTTTCTAACTCTCTGAGAAGCAAACTGGCGATGCCAAGTTTAGTTGTGTTGGTCATTTAAATCTATGATGAGAGTGTTGTTTAGTCAATTGATAGACTTTTAAAATACACTACATCCAATATTAGGAGAAGATTATTTCAATAATTCAGTATCGATATCAACTTTTCTATTAAAAATAGATTTACAAAATACATTATTAACCAATTTTTAGAGCAATAGTTTGGTTCTAGTAGTTTTGTTGTTATCAACAAGATGATTATACAAAGTTCTTATAACAATAGCATACATTCACTAACAGAAAAGGCTCTACTTTTATTTTTAAGGAATTAGGATTACTACTCCTTAAAAATAATAATAATAAATCAAAGATATTGAAAGTCTAGGTAGGGAAAAAATTAAAAAATAAAGCCCTTCAAAAAGAATATCATACTTTATTTTAAAATAGATCAAGAACAAAAACAAAAACAAAACAAAACAAAACAATTATAGAAAGTTTGACTAAAAACCTCAATCAAAGTTTAAAGTAAAAAATTAAGTATAAATTTTCTAAAAAAGAATATAAATATACTAATCATAAGAGATATTAGAGTATTTAAGATTGGATTTATTTACAATTATCTACTAAGTTGTTTTTATTAGTTCTTGTCTTCAAATCCTATCTATTGTACAAATCCATTTAATTATTTAACATTTTTTACTAAAACATTAACATAAATTATGTATTTTTTTGAAAAAATCCTTGATTACTAAATATAGTTATTACTAAAGAAAAGTTTTATATATGGCTATTAAATTATTTAATTTATAGACTAGATACTTGTACTAAGAATATTTGATAAATTTGAAAGGATGTGATATTAGTGAAGGTTTATAGGAGCTATTATATAATCTCCAATTTTTCTTGCCATAATTATTAAACCAACCACACCAATTATGACAAACTTTATTATTTAATAAATGTACTCAAGATGAAGTAGAACCTTCAAAGCCTCAAGCATAACATTGCTTTGAGTACTTTTTGGCAATAAAATGTTTGAGAAGATGTTTGATTTTCAATTATTCTACTACAAGTTAGTACCACTACACTTGGTGGTTAAGAAGTTATCTTCTAAACATATTTTAAATGTCTAAGTTTAGACCAAGTTAATCAAACAGGTTCATTAACATGATGTTAGTTTAGCCATAGTTGTAAATTGAATGAGTCTATTTATACATTGGATAGTGACCAAAAGACAACATCCATAACAAAATATTCTAATGAAGTTTGATCCTTTATGAACATGAATAGATCAATATTTTAAGTTCCAGTGGATCTTTTATTAAAATAAGAGGTGTTGATACTGACATATGTCAATTATAATTAGAAATATATTTTAGAACACTCTACTACCTTCTAGAATCTAATTTTTATATATATATATATATATATAGATATAAATATTACTATTTTAAACCTTCAAAATATTTGATTCTTCTTTGAAATTTTAAATTTTTATGTGAATATCTTGGAGTTTCTAAAAATATCTTATCATCCTTACTAGCTATCAAAAATCTTCAATAGTCCTCTAGTAGTTGCAATAATAGATTTGTTATACTTATTAGATATTATACAGCTCTTTAAACCATTTTCTAGAACCTTCCACAATACCTAATTGTTACAATAAAATTTAGAAAGCACAAGAACATGCACCTTCTTATTACCAACACAGTTATGAAAGAACACAAATAAATATTCTAACTAAGCATACAAACTTATTTCTAATATAGTACTTATCATGTACTGCTAGATCTCTTGATCCCTGTTAGTGAAGAAATTATATTTATATTTCTTTGCAAAGGATATTTATCACCAAAAAGACAACTCCACTTTTAAATATATTGTAACATGTCTAAAAACACACACAAATTTCTAATTGAAAGTTCAAATTTTCATGTAATAAATATGTAAAATAAACAAATAAAATCTAATAAATACAATACGTGCTTCAGTTATGGTTTGTACTTTTCTCCACATCTGCTTGACTTTATATATTCATTTGCGATCAGAATATGAATTTCATATTAAATATGAAGACTTATTTCAACAAGAACTCGTGTTGATGTTGTATGAATCGTTATGGAAAAAAGGGCATTACACCCTAATATAAATAGGAGCCAAATTGCAAATTGGGTACAACGTATGCAATGGCAATCAAAGAAAGACAAATAAACTACTTCATATGATGCAATAAACAACACAAGTGACAACAAAAAACGATGGATTCATAATAAAGCGGCCACACAATATAATAACAATTGTATAAAGTTAAGACCTACTACAACAAATCTGTCCATAAAAAAATTGTATAAAACGAAAACTACTAAGTTTCCACAGGAGATTGTAACAAATGGTCATACAAAATAGAACTTGCTAGTGGTGAGAAGATGAAAAAGCAAAACAGCCTAACAACGCCAAGAATGGTGAAAAGGAACAACAACCGTGAACCAAAAACCCATACAGGACCTCAACTGATAAGAAAGCATGAACATTAATGTGAGCTAGTAATAAAATACGTAATGATCCATCAAAACGATAAGTACAAACCAAAAAACGCATGAACATCACGGGAAACAAATACACCAAAGGGTTGCCGACGAAGTGGTCAAATAAGTTAACATACAGCGAAGGCTGAGATATTACTCTGAAGAAGCGCGAAAGCACTCATTCCACTTAGTACGCCCAACTTGAACCCCAAACAACAAACACACGATCAAACTGACGAAACAACCAAAGTGGTGCTTTCCAAAAGTTAACTGTTGAAACTCAACCATGACAGTAAAATAAATAAATAAATGATAATACATAAATTAGTTCCAAAAATCATAAGAGAGGAATACAAGACAATATACGACTAAAACAAATACATCCATAACAATGACCACCGGCAATGGTCACCTCTGTACCTACTTCGGGCACAATATATATTTCAGGTCAATAACTGCCATACAATGCGTGAGTCCACCATTTCTAAAGAGTGAAAATGTATCACAAGCAAAGAACAGACCCCCTTCAATAGGAATATAAGCAATGACAAGCGAACCAGATTCAGATAAGCCCTACAAGGCCACAAATCAGGTCCAGCCTAGAAAGACCACAAACAAATGCTTCTACCACCAGTCACTCCATCAAAGAGTCAACACCTTCCCATCACCTCAAAGCTCCGCCTTGCCTGGATATCTCGGAAACGGAATCACGTCCCTGATGTTCTCCAACCCCGTCGCAAACAATATCATCCGCTCGAATCCAAGCCCAAACCCTGCGTGCTTCACTGTTCCGTGTCGCCGCAAATCTATGTACCACTCATACGGCTCCATCGGCAAGTTCATCTCCTTCAACCTGCGCATCCCCACACCACATCCATCCATCACTCATACACCAACCTCTGCTTCGCCACTCCACCCAACCACCCACAACCACTCACTCATCGCGCCGTTCATCTGCCTCACTTTATGTCACCTACAAAACCACCTCAATCACGTTTTCACCTTCACCTACGTTCACCACCCCACATCCCCCTTCCCGCCTCAAACCCTCTCCTCCTATCACCATCAACCCCACCACATCTCTTACCTCCTCTCAAGAACGTCCTGACGCTCCTCCCTCTGACTCCCACCCACCAGCTCTCCAACCTGCACCACATACACACACGATCCATTATGTCCACTGCAACACACACCCGATTCTCTCCCCCCGCTGTGTTCCATCTCCACCACTGTACGTCCAATTCCCACCAATCGCACTCACGTGCCGCAACACCACACCCCAAACCCACCTTCGGTACCAGCACGTCCATAGCGGCCACCGTCTTCTCGTCGTCGTTCAGCCGCATGTAAAACGCTTTTATGTCCTTCGGGTAGTTGTACACAATCACTGGCTTCTTGTATATCTCCTCTGTCAAATACCTGCATCACTCCACCCACGTCGTTCAGAACATCCCCCACTCCACTCGGCCCCGCCATCCACCATGCCCCTTCACTTTCTCCCCATCCCAGCATTCCCCATGCCTCCCCGCCTGCCCACTCCTGTTCGTTTCGCTCACCTTTCATGTTCCGATGCTAGGTCGATTCCCCATTCCACCTTGTTCTCGAACTTCTTCTCTGTCACCTGCTCAATGCAACTCCACACTTCAGCATCCCATAATCTCTCATACTCTCCACCCCAGACCACCTTTTCAACAACTACGCTCAAACCTGATCGCCGCACCACTCCGATAACGTCTCCAACCCACATATCCACCCCCCCCCCTTCAACACTACGCCTCCTAATCATTTCCCACGATACTGCTACATCCTCGTCTACATCCACACCCATTCAAGGAAACACCACACTTCGAGGTCCTTGCCTTCTCTAGTATCTCGATTGCTTCCGTGTACGTGATGCGCACGAACGGCGTCGACGCCACCAGCTTCAGACGATCCACGGCCGTCTTGTCATACATACTCGATATAAACTTCATGTCCTCCAGACAGTGGTCCAGCAACCACTGGCACATGAACCTCACGTAATCCTCCGCACAGTTCATGTCGTCCTGATCCATCCCATCCCATCCCATTCCAATCCCCCGCTTCAGCAACCGTCGCCCACCCTCGACTTCCGACTTCCACACATACTCACAATCACACCACAACCCACCCCCTGCTCGTCCAGCTCACCTGCAAGTCCGCAAACGCTATCTCTGGCTCGATCATCCAGAACTCCGCCAAGTGCCTCGTCGTGTGTGAGTTCTCCGCCCTGAACGTCGGCCCGAACGTGTACACGTTGCTCAGCGCACATGCATACGTCTCCACTTGCAGCTGCCCCGACACCGTCAGAAACGCTTGTCGTGCGAAAAAATCCGCTCCGAAATCCACCTCCCCGCCTTCTTTCCTCGGCATCCCGGGTTTCAGGCTCGCCCGTGCCTCCAAATGTGCGGCGTGCTCCTTCGCCTTCATCAGCGCCTGCACATCCACCAATTCCCGCACGGCTCAGGCGTCCGAAAACACAACCCTAACCCTCCTCTTCCTCGGGGTTTATCACTCCGGGGGTTTAGGGCTTCTCTCCGCTCCCAATTCACTACCTGCACCGACGGCTCCAACTCTTTCTTGTTCTTCTTCTGCGCCTTCAGCTCCTTCACCACCTCAGCCGCCTCCGCCACGACATCTTGGGCTGCCTCCACCTCGGCCTGGCTCGGAGGTGGGTTCGCCGCATACTCGCGATCTCTCCTTTCCGTTTCGCTGAACAGCGTCGTCACTTGGAACATCTCGCCCGCGCCCTCGCAGTCGCTGGTCGTGATGATGGGAGTGTGCACCCACATGAACCCATTCCGGTCGAAGAACGTGTGCGTCGCCACAGCCAAAGCGTGCCTGATTCGCGCCACAGCCGAAATCTGGTACACCACCCACACCAATCGTCAGACTTGCTGACCACCAGATCTCCTACCCGCATCCCCAGGAATTGCCACCAAAACCCCAGCCCACAATGCGACACAGCCCACTCACGGTGTTGGTGCGAGCCCGGAGGTGCAATTGGCTGCGAAGCGACTCCAGCGACAGCTTGGTCTTGGCGATGGGATACTTGGCGGCGTTCACGGTGCCAACATGCAGAATGGTCTCCACGAGCAGCTCCACCTTCTGCTTCTTGTCTTCAGGAGGCTCCACGAGCTTCCCTTGCACCAAGACGCTGGTCCCGGTGAGGGTGAGCTGCCGTTCCGTGGCGACAGTCGCGTCCACCAACACCTGCAAGTTGCCAATCCAGGATCCATCGTTCACCTCCAAGAAGGCAGACGCGGTCTTGCCCATGACACGGCCAGTCTTGACCCATCCTCCCACAGTCACCTTCTGCCCAATGAGCCCAACTCCACCGTCGGGTCGACCCAGAATGGATTTGATGAAGACGCGGCCGCTGTACTTGGAGTTGGCCACCATCTCCCGGTCTCCAGCAACGGAGGGAGCAGCGCCCCCGCCCTCCCTCTCCCCCGCGTCTGTCAACCCCATCCCTCCAACCCCGCGCGCCACCTCGTCCTCTAACGTCATTGTGCAATTGGAAGAACAAGTGAAGGGTGCGTTCGGGGGTTGTAAATAGAGAGGGTGAGCAGCGAAGGCGTGGGGGCGAAGGCTAATGCTGCCTTGGATGGGGGTCTGGAGGAGGGAGTTCGATTAGGGTTTATTGGCGGTATTGCTGATGGTGGACTCATGCGCTGTGGAGGAGTGGAACGAAACTGTGCAATGCCGTGTGTTGGAGGTTGAGCTTGCGCTGCTACCCCTTTCGTCTGTTTTCCATTGCTTTCGTATGAAGTAGATATTGGCATTGTTGGGTGCGCGGTGAGTGCTCTGCCACTACATACAAAAAGTTTATCATTTTTCAGTTTTTTGGGGAAACTAGCTGGACAACAGTTTTGAAAATTAGTAATAATGCTAATCTCAGATGAATGTGTTTATTTATATCCCTTCATTGGTTCTTTTTGTCTCCAATTTTACGAATTGGGGACTTTTCTGTTGACGTGATTTCTATGCCTGATCTACTTTTTCTTTTCCTCTTTAAAGATTAATTTATGGTTGGTTTAGGCAGTTTTGATATTTTGAAAATTGCACTCAAACAATTGCTTGGCTTAAATTCATACCTTACTTCGTTGGTGAAGCTGGTCACACACTATTATGTTTTACACAATATATTATTCTTGTGCATAAAATACTTAGGTATTAAATCTTACTATGTTATTTCAATTTTTTTTTTCATTTTCATGTATTAGTCAATGATCCATAATTATCAAACAAATTTAGAATTCAGTCAGAAAGTTTTTGAAAAAGTCATTTTTTTACACTGTTATTGTAAATTTTTAATCTTTCTGTAAATGTTTTTGACTTGCTATTTTGAATCAAAATTGTATAGTAATATTTTAATACACATACAAATTAAAGTTTTGCCACAAAGTTTTTGTATTAAGTTCAGATGATGATTGTAGTTAATAGTTGGCTATAATTAGGACACTATAACTAATTGTTGCATCAATTCCGTAATATATTTAAGAAGGTTTGCTGTTTTTTCAAAAAAAATATTATTTCTTATAAACGAAATAGGCTCGTCATTGTTTATTACAAGTCTTATTCTTGATGCACAATACTTTTGAAAATATAGTTTTTGTAAGGGATTGTTCTATATTTAACACTATTATATTTATCATTAACAGCATTTAATAAATATATCTAATTTAACCTTCTTGCTATTATATATATATATATATATATATTCTTTATTCCGAATTTTAGTACATGTTCTTAATTTAATGCAAACTTTAATTTGAACTTTGAATATTATATCTTTTTAATAATATCAATTGGTATACTAATTCTGATTTTTACATATATTTCTTCACTGTATGGGGAATGTTAAATAGACCCAAGCTTTTAGTAAATCAACCCACCCATCCTGACCATTATTAAAATATAATAATATCCTCTGGATTCATTTCCCCACTATTATATCTGCAACCAATAAAAACAAACCATATTAATCATGATTACCATATTCTTTATCAAGAGTAGATCTTTTTAGTAAAAGTATGGGTTTGTTTTACATTCTCCTCTGTTTATACCTTTAAGTGTTGTCAAAGTATAAATTGGCCATTAAAATAAAATAAAATAAAATAATGCATTTAAATAATCTCTAATAACCACTTTGTACTTGTATTACTTTTACTTTGATTTAATTTTACAAATCTTAGGTATTTTAGCATTGGTTGTTATATCATATATTACTATAAACAATTTTGAATGCTTGATCCATAACCAAATGTTTGTAATAGCACCTAATAGTACAAAGTTGAAGACTTTATGTCATTCACCTATTCACAATCACATAGATAATATTCTCACAATTGTCTTAAGTCTCAAAATTGTTCATTACTTGTAAACACATAATGATTCGAGTTTTCTCTATAATAAAGAAAATATTACCAGAATTAGTTAACTTTGGATTTGTAATGTGATTTATGAATCCCTATTACTTTAATACATTAATCTTCTTACATTTAAATACAAGCATGTTCAATATCTTGTTAAAAGAAATAAAGCAAACAATTAAACAAATGAAATAAAACAAACATCTGTCATACCAATTTGATAAGACCGTTTGCAATGTATGATCTTGTTTTACTAAGAATTGTTGATGTCGAACTCTATAATTTATACAATTCAATGCTTCAAAGTTCAGTATTATTAAGTTCAGTCTTACAATGTGCCCGAATGAAGTTAACACCATGCAAGAAAAGTAGAAAGGTCATGAGAGGCTGCATTTTAGGGTTAAGATTTCAGCTTCGTCTCCTTCGTCGAGTTGTCAAGCTTCGTCGGGGAAGCAGGTCGAAGTCCTCTCGTCCTTGCCAGTCGGTTCGATTGCAGAAGGGTTTGATGTGACTGCCTGGACGTTTCGAGAGCAGTCGTGATTGTCTGGCATTTTCAATTTCAAGTTGTACTGTGTTGTTGTGGTGGTAAGAGGAGTTACAGTGGAGCGGAGATAGGCTGGCAGCCGCGGGAGTGGACAACACGGCTCGACGGAAGTGGGATAAAGAGGAGTTTGCTAAGCGGGCGCGAGAGAGGGATGCGGAAGAGGAGGAGGAGGAGGAGGGGCGCCACTGAGGGAAACCGCGTGGGCCGCCCGTGCTGCGGAAGCCTCTGAAGAATCGTGACTATGAGGTTGATCTGACGTCGCGGCTTGGGAAGACGCAGGTAGTGACGCCCGTGGCGCCTTTAAGTCAGCAGGCAGGATACTTTTGTAGCGTGTGCGAGTGTGTAGTCAAAGATTCTGCGAATTATTTGGATCATATCAATGGGAAGAAGCATCAGCGGGCTCTGGGCATGTCCATGCGCGTGGAACGGGCATCGCTGCAGCAAGTTCAGGATCGGTTTGAGGCTTTGAAACGGAAGAGCAGTGCCGGAGGTTTCACGGAAGAAGATTTTGATTGTAGGATACAGAAACAAAGGGAAGAAGAGGAGGAGCGGAAGAGGTGTAAAAGAGAGAAGAAGAAGGAGAAGAAAAGGGGGAAGGAAGGGAAGGAAGGGAAGGAGGAATTTGTTGACGGTGTCGATCCAGATATTGCTGCCATGATGGGTTTTTAGGGATTCAGCACTTCGAAAAAATAGTCTCGTGCAAAATGAGTAATCAAGAATTGATTACACATATCTCGCTTATTTTCGAGACAAAGCGAGGAGTTTCACTTATCTCCAGCATCATCTTGAAGGCCTTGGCTAGTGATGTTGAGACCTCTGATTTGTTTAGCCAGATTGCAAGACGGGAAGGTTTTGGCATGACCAAGAACCTGTGGACGAATGGCTCTGCCATGGACTTCTTCGATCAGTCTGACTATGTATTTTACATCGTCCTGAAGGATCATGTCAGTGACGGGTTACTCTTGGGAGGTGTATTTGTACATTTCTAAGAGTGTAAAAAAGAAGAAGCAACGTGTAAGTGTTTACCATGTAGGATCATTCAAACCTGTAACAAGCTTCTTCTCCTTCGCTGTTAATGTGGTCTCCGATCTAATCAGTCCACTTATCAGTAAATTTGTACTAGTTATGTAACATCCGAAGGAATCCCTGTGATAAACATTCAATCAAAGTTTTGCAGGGTCGTGTTAAAGCTGAGTTTGAACACGATCATTGTAGTTGCCCAGCCAGAATCCCCAACGGGGGGGGGGGGGGGTGTACGTCAGAGGATTAGCTGCGTGGCTGCATCAAGCCCACATCTAGGTTTTCTGTTGTTGCCGCAGAAACCGACGAATCATGAGTTATGGAATCTGTTGCTATTTTCGAATGTTTACACCAAAGTTGGATATTCGAGAGTAAACTCAGGCTCTATCAGTGCTTATCATAATTTTCTTGCTTTTGTGTGAAAACTTGAGTTGAATGGACGCACGGGGAATATGAACAACTTACGCGATTCTTTATCAAATGGGAATAATATTCTTTCCACACATGATTTACGCGTTGGAAGTTCACATGAAACCCTATTGTTTACTTCCTTCGTTTGCATGTCTGATTCTCTTTATCATTTTCGCGAAGACAACCAGTTCCGTGCACACCACAACCTTCAGAAGCGGCTGTAGACAGCCAAAGTAGTCACGATCCTAGATTATTATCTGTCTGCAGTAGCGTGAAGTATCAGATACCTAAGGCACACTGAAATTCATCTGCCGTACCTAATGACAATTCCGGTAACTTTGTGAGTTGGATGTTGTGATAGGGTTCCTCTCCGTTATCAGGGGATAAGTTAAGTAATTGGTTTTGCTCTGTTACTTAAAACAATATCTGCCTGTGGTTTGCGAACGTGGTTTCCTTATTGAAAACGTGTTTGGGCCCAACAATAAAGTAATCTACATTACGGGTTTTAAATTAAAGCCGTAATTTCAGTGGTAGCGACAACTTGTGTTGACAACCATGTGCCCAAAAGAGTAGTTGCCAAAAGGAATTCCTTCCTATGCTGCGTACCAGACTGATACATTCATTAGCCTACCTCCCAAAAACTTACAAAATATGTCGTACTGAGGATCTTCCACGTCTCTGGAATAGGTAGGAAGTTTGCGGAAGCCTGGCCTCATTGATCAAGCTCAACTGCAAAAGGGATGAAGAGTCTCACAGCTGAATTCGTACTAATCAGCTTAGTTGCAAGGTTTTTCACACAATAAAACTACGTCATATCCATCCTGTACTCAGTCCGACGTCAAAGTTTGACATCCTCAAACATTGTGTGGCATGCATATAAATATCACCGAAAATACGTAACACTAATTGAACTAGATAATAAGATCAAGCATGAACGAGGGCTACACTATCAACACGAACCCAGAACAGCTTCAAAAAATGTCAGTCCACTGCTTTGTTTCAAGTTTACTGGACTCGAAAACGCATTTATTGAGGGCACCATAAAAAGCCAGTAGTGAAGTGTAAGGGCCAGGAGCAAAATCATATCACATCTAGTATGGAAATGCCTTCTAATGTTACAATCACACCGCGTTTGACGGACAAAATGAAAGATAATGACTTGTGACACTTGCTAAATATCCCGACTGAGACTACTTTCAGTGCATTCAAGCGCACAGAAAAAGGTACTTATACATGACATGAATGAACCCAGAAGTCACCATTGTTTCCAAATCCTAGCCTACAGAATAGGAAAAACCTTATGAAAATGATAAGAAACCCATTAAGCCCTGTAAGGAGCAAAAACCACGCAAGAGTTGTGCCCACCAAAGCCAAATGAATTTGAAATAGCTGCACAATATAACAATACGCAAGTTCAGAATATAAGACAAACGGGCAAACATCCAACATTTCATTCACCTCTGCCCTCTCTAACACACCCAACATGATGCATGCCTAACCAATCCGGAACACAAACACAATTGAAGCACCTTGCAGTGCCAAATTGGAGTCCCATTCAGCTACCACAATGGGGAAACAAGATACTCACCAACATTTACTTCATGCTGCTTCTTGACATTTGGCACGGTATCAAACGTCACTTGCTCCTCTGCGTTCTGCACCAGCCAATACCATTCATGCGTAAATAGGTGCTAATCAAAAAGTTATTCACTGAAACTTTGCCGGGTGTAGATTACCAACTAGTACCGCGCACTCCGCGAAATCTATTTCCAATATGTAAAAGTTCTGTCACAAAATTACGTTTCATGTAGGCATGTACTAGAGAGTTGAATTCCAACTCCGAGGACAATATTCTTCACAGAGAAGGCTTATGAAAAAGCAGCATGTAATACAAAAGACCATTTTAAACTTAAAATTGTGAGTAAACGATTTCAATTTGTTCAAAGAAACCCTACGGACAGACAACGTGATTTGTTGGTGTTCATTATGAAGACAAATGCACTCACGAATTGATTGATAGATGGATGCAACCATCCGGTTTCAATAGCTTTGATCGTAGCAATCGCTTCCAAACCTCCAGCAGCTCCAAGGCAGTGCCCAATCATGGACTGAAGAAATTCAGCAAATCATTTAAATTCAATTAAAATCTTAAGGCAGAAACTTGAACCAAAACTTCAAGGTGTTCCTCAACGTTTACAATGCAAAATCCAACTGCTATCAACGCTCCAATTTCACGGCAACACCCAGAACTGCGACGCCAACACCTTAGAATGAAGATAATTTCTCACAAGGTGAAAAAAAAAAAAAAAAAAAAAAAAAAAAAAAACTAACTAACCTTCGTGGCATTCATTTTAATCTCTGAAGTATCTTTGAAAACATTCTTCAGTGCGTTCACTTCTGCTAAATCACCCACAATTGTAGAAGTAGCATGTGCGTTGATGTAGTTCACCTGAAAACCCACCGTCAAACAAATTGATAGAAACCATGGCATGAAGTCGTATCAACAAATGGAGTAGAACTACAAATCTATGATAATCACCCAATAAACCCTATCCTACCAATACAGGGTTTGATTGAGCAATGAAGTTCACATTATAGACATTTAAAGTCACTTTGCGAGCAGAAGAATACCTCCTCAGCAGCAACTCCTGCATCTTCCAAACTCATTTCGATGCAAGATGAAACACCTAACCCATCAGCTCGGGGATCTGTCATGTGGTATGCATCACAAGTCACCCCACCTCCCAGATACTCCGCAACAATTGGTGCTCCTCGCTTCAACGCATGCTCCAGACTTTCCATTACCTTCAAACAATTGCGGCCAATCATATTAGCATCCTCAAGCAAAAATTGACCAATGATTTAAATTACAAACCATTCCAACCAACGGGTCAACACATTCAGCCGTCAAGCGTACCAGCACGCCGGCACCTTCACCCATCACGAACCCCTCACGCTCCTTGTCCCAAGGCCTGGAAGCAGTTTGTGGACTGTCATTCCTCGTCGATAATGCCCTGCAGGCCACGAAGCCACCTAATCCAATTGGGAGAATGGCTGCCTCTGTGCCTCCGGCGACCATGATCTCAGCCTCTCCTCTCCGGATGTGGTTCGCAGCTGCATAGAAACAGTAGTTGGAGGTGGCACACGCAGTTGAGATAGAGTAGTTGGGACCCATCAATCCAAGATCAATGGCGAGAAGGGCAGACCCCATGTTTGTGATCGTGTATGGGATGAAGAAAGGTGTGATCCTCTTGTGGCCCTTTTCCACCAAAGCTTGAACACCGTCGGAGAATACAGAAAGCCCACCCATACCAGTTCCTATGAGCACACCCACCTTTTTTTTGTCGACCTGGAAACAAAGACAGTGTAAGCTCAACTGAGAAACTTGAGCTTCACATGCATATACAATCATTACGTAAGTACTTCATAATATTAACTACAAAGATCGACTTCAAGCAACATGGTAACGTACTAAAAGCAGGATTTGAGCTTCCACTACATTGCTTTGCAAATTATTCTCACCTGGTTCAAGTTTTCTCCACCCAGGCCAGCGTCCTCAAGAGCTCTTTTGCCACTAACTAAGCAGTACCGGAGAGTGTCATCAAGGCGGCGATCATTCTTCCCGTCGATGTATCCTTGAGAACTGAATCCCTTAATTTGTCCAGCAAATTTCGTGGGAAACTTGGATATATCAAATCTGTCAATGGTGTCGATACCGCTGGCTCCCTCCAGAAGCTTGTCGTAGAATGTGTTGACGTCATTCCCGAAGACTGATACCAGCCCCATTCCCGTGATCACCACCCTCTTCTTGGGGTCCGTTTCTCTTTTAGGGGCGCTCTGAGCTTGAGACACCGCACACCGCACCAGGGGAACTCCGGCCTTCCCATTAGCTGTTTCAAATAGAAGACACGCAAACACAAAAGCCTTTAAGCCTCCATCGAAAATCATACAGCGAAGCTACCGCCCCAGGCAGTAGTTTATAGAACGCGAACACATCCTAACACACCATCGCCAAGCGCTTAGGACGATCGTCTATGCTGACGGACAAAACTGTGAGCTTAGCGTCCTACAAAACTTCAGTGTCTAGACCGTTTGCTGTTGCAACCATTGGATGCACCGCCACAACAAACAGCCAACAGATGCGACACGAAATCACACCCAAGCTTGCAGAACTAATGCTCAAATCATCAAGTAAAACTCAAAAATGTCCGCAACCAATTTCAAGACACTATCTCAATGCCGATTACCAATCCTAGGGTTGCGATCGACAATGCATCAGACTTAGTCATAAAACGCAAGGTGAAATAAGAACATACGCGAAGCAACAGGCGGCGCAGGACGCTGCACCAGGAGCTTGCTTTTCGAAAAACTGCCAATGCTGTAGCACTGCGACAGAGACGAAGGAGCTGCCATCGCCATTAGCAATCCAACAACTGTTTCGCGACTCAAATCTCGACTAACCCTCTCTAAGTGCCTCGTTCCCGAACTTAGACCCAACCAACTACCAACAGAACACGAGAGGGGAGTACTAGAGAGGAAGGCCTTGATCCCTCCAAATACAGCGTACAACAACGAATGCACAAGGCACCCAGTTGGCGATTGGTGGGGCTTTGGGTTTGACTGGCGATCGAAATGCGAATTGGCAGTATTAAAAACTCCGTCGCTGTAACAACCATGCCCCACAACGTTGAGGAGATCGCCCAGATGAGACCTGGCAAAGCCAATAGTAGCGTAGCGCAGCGCTACACGTACTCAGGCTACCTCAGTAACTGCACATTCATTGCAACCGGATCGGCCGAGTGTGAACGAGAAGCGCAACGAGCACTGCTCTTGTTACAGAAGTTGAGGCAGAGGTTCCTCGGGGTCTTTTCTCATTCATTCTCTGGAACTTTCTGGTTGCATGTTCATCATTCAGGGCTTTATGAAATTGGTGGCTGGAGCCCGCAGTTACATTAACCAAAGGCAGCTGGAGAATCATCCAGTGACACCAATTTCATAAACATTGCGCGAATCTAGTTGAGAGCACTTCAGCGGAGTTATCAAAGCTACCTAAAGTCGTGAAATGGGCAGCATCTGTCACTAGTCTGACCAATGGTGCCGCACAGTGTTCAGTCGTTGTTTCATGTAAAGCGCGGCGTTGACTTGGTCTTATTCACTCTCTTTTTAGTGCAACCCACAATCACGGCACAGTTGTCACAGCCAGAATTCTACCTCACTCGACGACATGGCCGAAATTGAAACACGGATGGCATGATGCCAGTGAAAGCGTGTTCCTCTAGTTTACCTGTGTCTGATCGCAAGACTTCATGCGTAACGTTGATAATTAGCAGCTCAGCCTGAAGCGAAATGGTTTGTATTTTGTTGAGAAAGAAGTTGAAGAATTGTGTATGTTAGGAAACTACGATCGGTCTCTATGTGTCACATTGAGCGATTCATTTTGATCATTAATGCTCGGTCTACAGAAATGCCTTCAGAGCGCTTAGTTGACTCTTCTGTTTGGGCCTCAACCGCTGCATCCTGCAAAGAGGAATATTGATGATGAACTATAAAAAAAAATAAAAAAGACGACAAACAAATAAACAATGCTCACCGAAAAATGATGCAAGTTTCGGCTCACTGTTGGATTTGTGTGCTGCAAGCCTTATAGCATTGAACCACCCAGGTGGCTGTACAATAGAAACTGGTTGAATGCCTTCACTATGTAATGAAACCATGAAAAACGTAACCTATCATGTTTCTTTCCTAGCTGGCTTATTTAACCATGAAGACCACAGTTTTGGAAAATGGTTCAGCACACAACGGCATCTTAAAAACTAGGGAATAGGTCTACAAGCAGTTGGAAAGTACAGTATTATCTTATTCCTCCTCAGGGTAAGAAACTACAGATTGTCATAGCACATTCAAAAAACTGTTTAAAACAAGAAAGAGAAGACATGATTTTTTATCGCTTTCTTAACAGCTTTATCTTTGTATATTCGTGTGTGTGTGTTCTTGCCTTCCAACGTCTAGGAATTACACACAACACACAAAGAATTGCTGTGTCATAGCAATCCTCAGTTTTCAAAGCAATTCTGTGCAAAATTTATACCCTGAATTCTAGTAATATGTCTATGGAAGCGTGTAGGCAAGCTTATTCTTTCAAGCTGTAACCTTCTAACTTACGTTCATATCATCCTTTTTGGACCAGCCCCGCTTATGCGCACATTTCTAGTTTAGCATCAACCTTGCATAATCCTACAAAACCACATGCCTAGCGCTGCATTTGAAACAAATCACGCTGATTATGTGAACTACGCCATTTCTGCAGGTCATGGACCACGCTCATTGCGTCAAGAGGCTCTGAGTAAAGCTGACAAACACGTAACCCGTAACCCTGTCGCCAACCGAGGCATCAGCACAACCTAACCACAACGCAATGCAATAGCAAATCATCCCACCTGGCGCAATAACTCAAATGTAAAAAAAATAAAATAAAATGATCCAACCAAATGCAGGTCCCACTGCTACATCAACACACCGCCTCAAATGCTGACGCCACAGAGACATCCTTTACTGTAAGCGAAGAGTCAAAAAACAGATAATCTCATCCGAGATCCAATACGCAGAAAACTCGCGGCATGCCCACATCCCTGCCAACGATCGGCTTCAGAAACTGCGGCACTGTCACGCTTCATTATCCCGGCAATTGAATTATTCGACAAATGGCTGAAACTGCATTGCGTGGGGTATATGACGCATTCTTGAATAGAATCCCATACACTCCCGTCACGTGTTTAGGGTTACTGCTCTCGGCAATTGTGGACCTCCTCGATTCGACTCTCCCTTCCAAAGACTCCATCACAAAGCGGACCTGATCACCAAATCAAACATGTCAACGATGTTCTACAATAGTTCCAATATTCACGCAGCGACGGGAATCTCGCCGCCCAAAAAATCGTAACTCCCTGTAGATACAACGCAATAGACATAAATGCGGAGCCCTGAGCTTCATGGATGTGATCAGCGACGAAACGAATGCAGAAAGAACACAATGGAGCCACTGACCTTCTACTGTTGCTTCCATTTAGGCCCCAATGCAGGCATTGTGCGGCATTGGCGTCGTGTCCAGTTTGAAAAGTGGACTCGAATGGGAGATCTAAACCCTAATATGGATCGCACGCCGTACGGATGGAACTTCCGTAAAACCAAACTCGAATTACCGACACGAGAAGATTGTCGAATGAGCAGATTACCGACATCCTTTTTGTTGTGCAGGATAGCAGGAGCCATTGAGGCCACTAAAGGTGCCACTTTTGTCATACCCTGAATAGGCAATGTTTTCGCTGCAGAGGGGTTTGCGGAGGGAATGACACACCTTGACTGGAGGCCAGAATTCAAACATGTGCTTTTACTGATATGTGGATTTAGAAATGTACTTTATAAAAGTAACTGATAACAATGACAAAAACGAGTCTTCTGAAGATTCAAAGTGTGTAAAAAAAATAAAAAAGTAATAAAAAATTACATGCATTTGTCATGATAGTTTTGTAGAATCAAAACATCAAAGAAATAACTTTGTGTTTTTTTCCATGTGTGAAAAAGGTAAATACACATGAAAAACAAATAAACAAATAAATAATATTTGTAGTTGGAAGAATGATTATATATATATATATATATATAAAGAAATTTGTTAAAGCCACACTCTTAAATCATGTGTTGATTAATTCAGTTCAATGTCACTTCATCTATGTGGTGTGCATCATCTTCCATGAATGCAAAAGGCACCTTGTCTTTTGTGCCTAAGCATCTCTTCTATCCAAGACTGTCCTTGTAATTGCAGAAGGCAACTCCATTCTCCTCTCTTGCATCCCTCTTCAGCCTTTGAGTATATAAACAATGCATTGTAGATCCCAAACCAACACAAAATAAAATTAGAATATCTTGTTAGTTTTAGGAGGTAATCTAGTAAAGGAATGTCACTTCTTGGGCAATCTCCATTAAATTGAAAATGTTCAAATTACAAATATGCTTTTTATATGCTTTTCTAGCTAAAAAAGTCATTTCTATTAGTTGATCTTTATAACAAAGCTACTAAATATTCAATACTAAATTTTGTTATTCTCAAGTAATACAATTAAAGCACTTCAATAAAAATCCAATGGTGAGGATTCCATAAGGCTATACAATTGCCTATGAGTTCAACAATTTTGTATGTAAGTTTTTATAATTGTTGAGACATTGAATGAATTTTCTTGTAAGTAGATTATGAATTTAATGATGAAATGATTTGTCTTCTAATTATGAGTACAATAAATAATTAAGTTCACAATTTGAAGATAGATATTAGCATGATATAAGGTGAACAATTAAAGACAAAGAAAAAGAATTAATTGAAGATAATGCTAAAGATTGGTTATAATAAAGTACATTGACATGACATATTTGTGCTAGCAATGATTTGTGGTTTAAAATTTGCTTGATGTTTTTATTAGAAAAGAATATGTTTACTATTATGGACATTCAAAAAGAAAAAAATTGAATTTTTTTTGAAATATTCTATTAGATTTTAAAAGATTCTAGAAGATTTTTAAAATATTTTCAAAAGATTTTTAGAATATTTTAGTAAGTTCTAGAAAGTTCTAAGAAAATTAAGGAATTTATTCAAGAAGCTTTTTAGGATTGCTTCATCTTCAAGCAACATAAAAACTTTCCAAAGAGATTCCTAAGGTTGTTTAATCTTCAAGGAACATGAAAACTTCTCAAGAAACTTCTTAATACGTAAAATATATTATAGTTGAGGTTGAGAGGATTCTCAGTCTTATCAATATATCTCTTAAAGCTCTAGCTCACCTCTCTTGGTGTTGATCTTATACTCATTTGATTTAATCAAGTTCTTGTTGGCTTTCTTGTTGAAGCCTTTTCGTTCAACTTTTGGTTTGGTCTCTTCTATATTGTATCCATGATAGTTAGTTAAGACTGCCTTCTTATCAATACTAAAGCTTGATTCTTCTTAATAGAGAGTGGATTATTCTTCTTCTTGAAGGTATCTAAGTGCTTTAGAGGTTGTAGAAAATCTTCGTTTAAACTAATATTGTTTTTGATTTTTTTTTTTTGATTTTTGATTTTTGATTTTTTTTTTTCTAGGATGGTTAAAGGTGAAGAAGTTAATATGGTTGAATCTTTTGACTCTAAATTAGATATTATTATGAATACATTTAATGTTTTAGCTCATAAAATTACTGAAATTGAAATTTTTTAAATAAGATTTTATGGTGATATAAGACTTAGATTAATTTCAATCTATGATGCAACTACTTTTTCAAGCTTCTACATCCAAGGAGGCGATGACACCTATATCTCAATAAAAAAATTTGTCTATTCAAAAATATAAGAAGCATTGGATTAGTCCTCTAAAAAAAGTTTGATAGCATGTACTTTAAGTTTCCTAAAGTTTGTTAACCAAATTTGATTGATAACTTTTCTATAATCTAAGCATTATTTAATAAATAAATGATGAGTTGATTTAGTCAAAACTTTGCTCACAAGACAAGCTTTAACTTAGTTTGTTTTTGTATTTGACAAGAGATCTCAAATTTTCAATAACATTGAAGCTTTTTTAAAAGCATATGTAGAGAAATTTGAAAAATGTGACAAGACTTGATAGACAATAATAAAGATTTACTCATTATGTCAAAGGTCACTCTTTGCATCAATTTATGTATTTGATTTTAAGCAATTGGCTTGTGATATTAATTGGGATGAACAAGCTCTTATAAGCCAATTCTATTAGAGATTAACAAATGATGTGAAAAACCTATTACTATTATTATTTGATCTTCAAACACTCAATGAAATTATCAACTTTGCTCTAAAGTGCGATAATTGATTATTTCAATGCTGTTAAAATCAATACTTGTGGACTTTGATAAAACAAAATACTAAAAATTTGTATTTTGTTGCTTCAAAAAATATATTACTTGTACATTTAAGAGTTGAAGATATACAAATTCATGCGGTACAATTCATACTTCTTATAACAGAGGAAAAGAAATGTCAATTTTAACAAGATCTATGCTTATATTGTGGTGACAAAGATCACAAATTTAGAAATTGTCCAAAGAAACAAGATACAATTAGGACTAGGAGTGTAATCATTTAAAAAAACAAAGAGAGATAGCTACAATAGAGATCATGTGGTTGGATATTTCAATACCTCAAATTCATCAAGGTTCCTCTTTCTCTGCCTGACCTATTTGTTGTTTGATTATACCTTTATGTTTTGGCCTACAAAAAATTCAAATAAATATCTTATTAGATTTAGGAGGATTTATTTACTTTTTAGGTGACAAGTTTTTTAAACTTCATAAAATTCTTTTAGTATAGAAGTCAAAACTTATAATAATATTCAATATTATTTGAATTTCATCCAATCCTATGATTCTAGGACTTTAATGATTAAAAAGTTATAATCCATCTATAGATTGTAGGTATTTTAAGATTAAATTTCCTATAGAATTTCTTTGAGCAAAATCGATCTAAAAGTTATTAATAATAAAGCCTTTATTTTTTAAAGCAAAGGTATTTATGAAGATGACTAAGAAAGAAATATCATTTTTTATTCATGCAACTCTAGCTCATTGTCGTAATATAATATGGCTAATGAATGAAATAGAAAAAAAATTATATTATAGAAGATCTTATTTTAAAATATTGTAGAAAAATATTTTAAAAATATAGACAATAGTCAAAAAGATAATATTATTAAAGAGTATTAATGGCTCTTTTTTACAAAATAGGCTTCTACTTACTTTGTAGGGCCATAAATAAAGCAAAAAAAAGTAGATTAAAAACATAAATGATATAGACATATGTAAAAAGAAGTTAAGAGTAGATTTTAATAAAATTTATTTTAAAAAGCTAAGAATTGATATCTAGAGGACCAATTGTCAATCTAGGTTGAAATCAGACCTAAAGGCTCAAAACCATGCATTTATGGTGATTCCAAGGTTTTTTTGTAGGTTGAAGAATAGAATTTGAAAGTAGACTCAAGAAAAAAAATTAGGCATTAGTTTTATATCATTTGAATTAATATTGAGATTTTGAAGGTTTTTCAAATTTAATAAAGTTCTTGGTAGGATTAAGATTTGAAAAATAAAAATATATTTATAAATTTGAAGATTTCTTAAGTTTTGTGGGATATTTATAGATGAAATTTGGATAATGTATTGGTATATTGGTTGTAAATGTGTATGCAAATTTTGAGATCAAATAAATGGTTAGATTGAAGTATATGAAGGTTTTTGTAGATTAAGGTCTCAAAAATTGGAGTTTGAGGGTTAGTGAATATTTCTTAGATCTTTAGAAATTTTTCAATTGGATTGAAGTGAATTTTTTTTATATGAATATTAGACTTAATTTCTAATATTTTGGGTGAAATTTAAAAGAAATTAAATAATTTAAGAGGGAGATATTGGCACTAAAAGTTCAACATTCAAGTCGGAGTAGGAGGCCATCCAATATCCAATTGGATTATCTTTTATTTCTTTCAATTAGTAAGTGCAATGAATTTCACCTTTCTTTTGCTTGTTTCTAACTTAAATATTCAAAAGTGTGAAAATTTTGAATTGATATCAATGATTTAATCATTAGTTGTTGAGGTTTTATTTACCTATAGGATTTGATTAGGATTTGATTATGGATTTGTCTATGATTTGGTTAGGACTTAGGATTTGATCTAGAGTTTAATTAAGACTAGGATTTGATGTAGAACTTTACTAAGATTTTTTAAGATTTGTCTAGGATTTATATAGGATTTTTCTAGAATTTGTATATGGTTTTATTAGAATTTGACTTAGAATTTGATTAAGGTTCAATTAGGATTTTAATTAGGATTACATCAAATTTTTTATTTTTAATATTTCTTTAGGATTATTTATTATTTGTTTAAATTTACTATTTATAATTTTTTAAAAGATTATTATTATTTCTTTAAAGATTTATTTTTATATTTATTTAATATTTTTATTTTTATTTTTTGAGATTAATTCATAACTTCTTTGTATTTCTTTTGTGACTTCTTTTAAATTTATTTCAATATTTTAAAGTTTGATTGGATTTATTAAAGATTACTTGAAGTTTATTTAACACTCTACTAGATTTAGTAGAATTATTTTTTGAATTTTACTTACCTTCTACAACTAAGTGTCCAGTGCATTCTCAATCAAAAACACATGTAATACAACATTGTGAAGAAAGAAGCTTACTAGTAGCTATCTCAAAGAAATATAAAGAATTTTAAGATGTCTTTGAAAAAAAAAAATGTTGACATATTGCCAAATGTTGACATATTGCCATTGATCTTCAAGAAA